GGAAGGTTTGCAGAAATCAGGTCATAGTTTACAGTTTTTTTCAAGTAATAATGGATTTATATAAGATGAGGAATTGATTGACATCGATGAACATACAAGTAAAAAGGTGATTCATATTTCTCTTTCATCGTATTTCATTCTAAATTTTAGCAAAGTCGTTATTATCTCTCAATACTCATCTGTGTTACCATTTGTGCATACGAACAAATGGGATTGTGGTCGGATTGACATTGTTTCTCTATCTTCTTTGATTGTGATCAATATAGAGAAATATGGGTAATGATACGACATATGTTTTGACCTATAAGACATGACTAGTGAAATGACATACTAGACTTTGCTGTATAATCCTTTGTATGATGTGATATATTTGTCTTCGTAGCTTTTTTTCCTTGAAAATTGAGACAAATACATACAATGTGGATCGACTTTGGTGTATGTCTCGTCCTTAAGAGCAATTCAAATGTGATCAATGCTATGTGACTACGAAGACATGAAATGTGACTTCTGTTTTTTTCCTTATCCATTGAGATGTGAAAATTGTGATTGAATATCAAATGCAAATTAAGTGGATTACTGTAGGTCGAAAATTTTTAAAGAGTGTGTGATTCAGAAAAGTGAATGGAGGAATAAATTCAAAGTGTGTGATTCAGAAAAGTAAATGGAGGAATAAATTCTAAACAAAAACAATGATTTTTCTCTGTCCATGAAAAGTTAAAAAAAGGTAAGGTAATAAGGTTACAATCTTGCTATGTACACTTTTTTTGGCATTATGTTTGACATTGTGTCTCTTGTCGCGATACAAATATTTTCCCACTCATTTATTTTTGAATGGACTATGCTACACTAACCTATGGCTTGACAGAAGCCATGACAGAACAATGGGGGAAATTATTTTTTTATTTGTGTGGGACCCACAGCATGTGAGACAATGTCATCCCTTCTGTCATATTTTTTCGGGCATTTCAGCATTTTCCTTTTTGAATTTGCGAGCAATGTTAAACTCCATGAACAACATGGAGTGTACAAGGAGTGCTGCATGCCAAAACTGTGATGTGAACATAATTAATCTTGCCCAATTAAAATTTCTTGTTCTTTCTTTTTGTTTGTTTGTTTATAGAGATACTTTACGCTTATGTCTAAATAAATAACATAAAACAAATAAAATTATAATAAAAACAAAGCTCACTCAATACAATTACATTTTATGGACCGTACTTTATTTCCTTAAAATAAAAATAAAACACGTCTAACAAAATTCTAGATATTGTCTATTTTTATATGTATCAAATTAGCTTGACGTAGTGCTATTCAACTTGCATTGAAGAAGAATTTTTCTAAACATATCTTATTTATATTTATACGGCATAATTTTTAAGTATTCAAGTAATTCAATAGTTGCATTGGAGATGTTTTCAGCGTCTCATAGTGAACCCCAACGTTCCAATGGATTTTGTTTAAATTTTTATTTATTTCTTTAAGTAAAGATATGAGTAAACATGTTCTTATAAAAAATTGTGTTTAATTAAAGATAATGATAAAATGGTCCAATAGGACTCAAAAGTGCTACAAAAAGAAAGGACTTAGCTATGATTTTTGATATTTTGGTTGATATTTGCATTATTATCAAGTGTCAATTGGATGAAAAAACTGCTTGTAATTTAAATTGTTTAATATAATAATGTCATGTGATAAAGTGTAAACTAAAGTATACATGTAACAAGGTTCAGAGCCAAAATAACAGGCTGATCCTACTCTATACGTTTTTAATAGGTTGGAACCTAAAACTGTAATTTTCTCATTTTAATCATAATACTAAAGTATTTTAATATTCATAATAATTATTAAGGGCGCGTTTGTATCTCATTTTTATAAGAATTTGAATGAAAAATATAGTCGTTACAGTTCTACACAAGAGATAGAAATTCAAATTTGGTGACTTGATGTGATGGTTAACAATCATATTTTTTATTTTAATGGGAAAAGAAATGGACCAAACAGGGCTAAGAAAAAGGAAAAATAAATTGAGGAAACGCAAGGAAGCAGCAAGCCTGATTACAGGAGTCAACCAGAACTCAAATCGGACCTATTTCAGTCCGAATCTTCCAGCAGAAACAGGGATAAAAGAAGGAAAACCTTATCCGCCCTCGACATGTTTGTATAAATACTCCAGAGAAAACCCAAACAAGAAATAAAAACACGTAAAAGACCTTTCTCGAATTCATTGAGCAGTGTTCTGTATTGCTATTTGTTATTATCAATTCTTGTTGTGATGGATTCGAACCAGGAATTGCCTGAAGGGACAGTGCAGAACGTGCTTGATCAGGACACACTCAAATGGGTTTTCGTAGGTGGCAAGGGCGGCGTGGGCAAGACGACGTGCAGCTCCATTCTTGCAATTTTACTCGCGCGGGTGCGACCCTCTGTGCTTATCATCTCCACTGACCCTGCTCACAATCTTAGCGATGCGTTTCAGCAGAGGTTCACCAAGACTCCTACACTTGTCAATGGCTTTTCCAACTTGTACGCCATGGTATGGATACGAATCTTCTCTCTTTAACGTAGTTTTGCTTTCTTGAAATTTTTTTCTTTCGTTGCAATTGTGGATTTCTAGAGTTGTTTGGATTAACTTTGGACCGTTTGAAAGATGGGATATTTGTGAAAAATGAAGTTTTGGGTATTTGATGAATATATAGTTGTGGACAATTCTAAAGTTTTCTCTTTGCTCTTTTTAGGCCTCTATTTTTGGATTCTTCAAATAATTTTTTTTTCTTCTGGTTTTGTATTACTTTGACATTCGAAGCGTTGGTGATGGATGGCTTATGGAAAAATAAAATTTATTTGATGTATGTACAGTATGAAGGATTCATGTGAAGGGTATTTAAATGTGTGTATAATGCAGAATCCTTTACAACAATTGCTTGTATCAAGGTTCCCCTTTTAGCTTTTATTTTTATGCGTTAGTCATGGTCATATATAATGTAGATTTAGTTAATGAGATTGTCGATATAATACTATTCAAGTACAAATATATATAAATTAAAGAACCCAGTGGCGTCAGATTTATAAGGATAGGCATCTTGGATTTTTGTAAGGGTATAGAATAATTAGAATTAAAGAACGTGCTTTTGTTGCAGTAAGAAGAAATATGAGGTGAAGGCTAAATAGATGACCGCAGTGGAACTTTTTGACAGTTATTGGTTAGGTTTTAGCTTAAAATAAAGTTGTATTTGTATTAGCATATTAGGCACATATGGTAGTGTAATAATTGATATTGGGGTAATTGTGTGGATTATCAAATTTCTTGTATCTTGCGATTTTTATCTATTGCACATTTGCAATTCTGCCGTACAGGAAGTTGATCCTAATGTGGAGAATGAAGACACGTTGGGTTCAGATAATATGGATGGTTTTCTATCCGACTTAGCAAATGCTATTCCTGGAATTGATGAAGCTATGAGTTTTGCAGAAATGCTGAAGTAAGTTTTTTATGTTTCATTACTGCTTTGAGATGACATATAGTCTATTTTAGCAATGTATGAATGCTTTGCCACCCTCCCTTTTTAACTCTAGGGGCCAAGGTCAGAAAACCTGTTCAATTGAACAACTTTAGTTTATTATGGATGACATTTCATCTAAAGAAAATTATATGTGTCTAGCAAGAAACTTTACTTTCAAGAATGTAGTTTGAGTAATAGTATATAAGCAATTTTTTTGATTGGTTTCTTAAAACTTAGTGTTGATCCAAACACTACTTAGCTAACGCTATCAAAGAAGTATTAAGATCCCTTGTGATCTATATCCATTGTTTTCCACCTTGATTCTCACAAGGACATTAGGAGAAAATCAATAAACTGTCTGGTTATGTTAAATGGAGAAAAGCATCAGGCCTTTGCCCATCAACAAAATAATATACAAAAAATTCGAAGGACTGTTCTAGGATCTTTTGTGTGGACAAAAATTTTGCCGTTAAGAGAAATCTCCACTACTTGAGTGTGATTGAGATAAGAATATTGAGATTGGTTTGCAGGATAAGAAGTATTGAGCAAGGAATGAGCACGTTCATCAATTTGTTGAAGGGGCACTAATTGACAAGAAAAGCATGGGGACTGATTGAAATTGTTTTGGCCAATCTACTGCAGGCTGCCACATATATTGGTTAAAATGGTGATTGGTCAAGTACCAATTGCAAACTTAAAGAGGTCGACTTGAAATCCCATAAAATGAGATAAATGGAAAGGATTGAAACTTCCTCTCTCTAAAAAATAAATAAATAAAATAAAGAAACCTTTTTTACTTTATCTTTGGACATGGCTTTTGAAAGAGTTGAGTGGAGAAAGACGATGTGTGTAGTTATACAGGATATGACTGAGTTAAATTTTTGGGAATGCAAATAATGGTAGCCCTCTCCACACAAGCTGCTGACTTTAAGGACACCTGCACAAAATATGCCTAAAAATCTTAGTTCGATGGGATTTCATACCTTACCGTGACAATATCTCTGTATTTCTATGGCACGTAAAACTTTGCTTTCACGTCCAAAGCATTTTGGCTCTCTTCAGTCAACCTCACTCTTCTTGAACACTGATAAATTCTTTCACACACCTAGTCAATTTTTTTTTTTTTTTCCACATTTAGCCCATGTTTCGCTAATGTTTATAAACTTGTTTGGCTATGTTTATAAACTGTTTATAATCATTTAAATAACTTTCTACCAACACATTTTTGTGGGACCCACAAACTACCCACTTATCCACCGCTCGTTTCCATCTATGTATAATTTAAACCCAAACATGCTTTTATTTAGGTTCAGTTGTTTTAACTCAAAGTGTATATGATCCCGTGATCTGTTAGAAAGAAATGAAACTATTTTAAATGACTGATTGTGTAATATATATGCTCTATACATTTTGTTTACAGAAATTATCCTTTATTTTTTAATTTTTTTTTTCCAGGCTAGTGCAAACAATGGATTATTCTGTGATAGTATTTGATACAGCTCCAACTGGACATACTCTCCGGCTGTTACAATTCCCTTCAACATTAGAGAAGGGGCTTCACAAAATGATGAGTTTGAAAAGTAAATTCGGTGGCTTGTTGAGTCAGGTATGTTTTCCATTACTTTCTTACTTACTTTTGTTTTATTTTACTGTTTTATTTATTTATTATGGAGGGAGTGTGAGGCGTATTTAAGATGTAAAGCAGGATATGCGTAAAACTCGTCATTCAAAAGTTAAAATGGCTATATCTGGCCTCCTGTTGCAGGCTTGTTGCTCTTTTTGCTGAAGATAGGTGATGTCTACATTGTTATTGTCTAGGACACGTAGTTAGCTTTATATTACTACATCATTTTCAATTGGTTATAACATGATAAAAAAGTTCTCTGTAGTAACAGCATCTTGCAAATTTTGAAACAGATTGATGATTTTCTATGTTTGTTTTTTCCACCTGACTCGTTGATTTATTTTTTTATGCATATGTATTCTCTTATTTCTTGTTGTATGTGTATATTATGTTTCTAATTACCTGTGTTCTCTACAATAAGTGTTGATTTATATGAGTGTCAGGTTGCTAAAACTAAGTGAATTATACTGTAACAACAGGTTCTTGTTGCTGTTCAATGTTGTTTATTTGAAACAATTGTAAATTTAATTATTTTATATACTTCACCACAGGTTGATGTACAAAAGATTGTGAAAATGATTTGATCTCCTGATCTGACCAAATCAGTTGTTAGCTGTAATTTTCATTGCTTACAAGATCTTGATGATTTTCTCTCCTCTCTCTCTCCCACTGTTATTAGTTTCTTTTGTTCTTTCTGTGAGAGAAAAGATAGGCGTTTAAACCTTTTGCCAATAACTACTATTTGGAATTGCTGCGTCCTTTTTTCTTGAGATTAGAAAATGAGCATTCCGTTGATAGTGTAACTGAGAACCTGCTATTTGTAATTAGTTTGTGTTTTTTCTTTCTTCAGTTCAGATTTAGTTTGTAGTCAGTTGTTACTTTCACATTTTTCTGAACATTTCCCCAGTGAGCTCGTGGCTTGTTCAGTAAGCATATTAATTATAGATGGTTGCAATGATAAGTTGATTTTGATGTAATGATGTAATATTTGCTCATGTATGTCTACCGGGTTTGTTTTGATAATGTAAATAAATATGTTATTGTATATGTTGGTGGCAGATGACTCGTCTACTCGGTGGTGGTGATGAATTTGCTGAGGACGCAATGTTCGGAAAGCTTGAAGGCATGAAAGATGTGATTGAACAAGTGAACAAGCAGTTTAAGGATCCAGTGAGATATTTCCCTTCTTGTTAGAATACACAATCCATATTAATACTTCTGTTAGTTAAAGAGCTGTCTAAACACACTCAAGACGCCCATAAACACTTAAGTACTGAAGTAGTTCTGTGCCAAGGTTTGCTGTGGGGCATGCTGAGAGATGTAATGGTACTTGTAAACTCAGTAAATAGTTGAAAACCTGACGAAGCGTAAGAGTTGAAGAAATACACAAGATCGACAAATCATTAATTCTTCCAAACACCGATTTGGATTGGAAAAAATACTCTCAGTCTCAGAGTTTATATTATTCAATTAAAACATAATAGACAATGGCCGAACACAAGATAAAAAATTGTCGATTCTTTCAAATGGCGATTTGGATCAAATATTGGGAACATAAATTGTACTGAAATTGACATGTGTACAGCATACCTGTGAAATTTTCTTGATCCATCAATGTTTCTAATTTTGGGCAGGATTTGACTACGTTCGTCTGTGTTTGCATTCCAGAATTCCTCTCTCTATATGAAACTGAAAGACTTGTTCAGGAACTGACCAAATTTGAGATAGATACACACAATATCATTATTAATCAAGTAATTTTTGATGAAGAAGGTATGCTTATATTTTGTTCATATTGGCGCTTCTCTTTTACCATTTAATATCTTTACGGAAACTAAAATGTTATTCTTTCAGCTGTTGAATCAAAGTTGCTCAAAGCTAGAATGTGCATGCAACAAAAATACTTGGACCAATTCTACATGCTGTATGATGATTTTCACATAACTAAGTTGCCGTTGCTGCCTCAAGAGGTATAAGGATTCTTTTAAGAGCGTATTCGGTAATCATTACTCGATAGGACAAGACAGTATAAAGACAAGATTTTAACTTCTTTTTCTTCTTTATTGCTATCTTTTGTTATCAAATTCTCGATACCAAACATTCTAAATCCCTGATTTTTCAGTCCTGCTTGATTTCTCATATTTGTTAATACCCTGATGAACTGCTGGCGTCTGATAGGTTTGTGGGGTCGAAGCCTTGAAAGCATTTTCACACAATTTCTTATCGCCATATCAACCATCTTTTGTTCGAGGAACTGTAGAGGAGCTGGAGCAGAGAGTATTGATACTTAAAGAAGAGCTGAAGAACGCTGAAGCTGAACTAGGAAGACTGGGAAAGGGAAAACAAAAGATTTGATTCAGGAAAATTGAAATGGAAATTGGACTCTTGGGAGTTCCATCGTTGGACTTTCTCGGCCACTTTTCCTTTCCGAATAGTGCAACGGTATAATAGCACATTTCACTCCCATTAGAGTATTTGTTGCCAGGGAATGAATAATTGTTTCGTTATTTCCCCTCTGAGAGGGAGTTTTATCATTAAAAAGTGTCTTTTATCGTAACTATTTCCATATACTTTTCTTGACGATTAAAAGAACTATATGTATGTGTATATATATTGAGCTGTAAATTTAAATATCAAAAAATCAAAGAAAAGTCTCAACAATTGAGTTATGGAATTTAGGTAATTAACTAGTTGTTGGTATTTGACAATGGAAAAATGGCCAAATTACTCATTTTTGTATTAAAATTTATAGTTATATTTTCTTTTAGAAGTTAAGATTGTAATTTATCAGTTTAGTTTATGGAAAAAATAAATTTTTTTTTTTTAATGGTCAGATTTGATTTCAAACCTCTTCGAAATTTTGAAATTTAAACCAAGTTGATTTAGAACGTTTTAACTTTTTTTCAAATTGTTTCGCTAATAGTAAAAGGTCTATGTGAAATCATACTGATGGTTTCAAAAAAGCGTTTTGGTTTGATTTTTCGGTCGATTGGTTTTTGCCAAGAGCCTTAGATTGTCGGGAAAAATGTATCTAGGGTTCCCAAACTTAATTAATTATTAATTTTGATAGTCTAAAATTTAACTTTCACCAAATAGGGGTTTAGGACTCGCTTGGTCTCCATTTTTTCAACTGAAAATCAGTGGAATATAATTTTTTTTTTGTTTGCAGAAATGAATGGTTGAAAAAGAATAAGTTTTTTTGATTTACGTGTAATATTATTTTACTGAAAATAGAAAAAAGAAAAATAAATTTTAATTTAATGGGGCTAAGTAACCTCTTTATTTTTTCCTAATTATATTTTATAAATAATAGCTTCGTTATATTCACTTAGGTAAATTTACGATGAGAATTTTTTTAAAGTCAGTCAGATACACACCTTATCCCAACTTCTTCCACCAATAATCCGTTGATCAATTGAAGAAATTCCTGCAAAAAATTTGTAAGTACACGTCATCGATACACACACAAGCAAAACAAATAAAATTCCCCAAAATTCACAATTTTCCCTGTTTTCTCATTCGGGTTTCATTCAAAATTGCAGAATGATTTCCGCCAATATGGAAAAAGTTTTGCGCTGTGCTCGTGGCTTATAAAGTTTTAGGGTTCAAAATTTTTTACGCCCAGGAGAACTCAAGATTCATTTTTTGCAGTGTAGATTCAATTTTTCATTCCATGGAGGCTTACAAAAGATGGGTTTGGAGGAATAGGGACTACGTGCACTCGCTTGAATCTCTAGCTAACGTAAGCCTGTTGAACTAGTAACATTTTTATCAATTATACCTTACTTGTAATAGTATTGTTCGTCAATTGGTTTTTGTTTATTCGAGTTAGAAATTGTTTAATTTAGGTGATAAGCTGTTTTGCCTTTGAATTATGCTTCTAAAATAGAGGAAATGGGGATGAAGCAGTGTTAATAGGAGGGATTTTAAAGCACCTATGCTTCTAAGCTAATATCTTGCAATCTGACGAATTATCAGCAGTTAATAAGGAATTTGAGCTCATAATTGCCGCCTTTTTAATTTATTAAAATTTGAAAACACTTTAGTTGTCTTCTCATGTGCATATGGATATATGAGTTCTACTTTATAAATTCTGTGGTGTGAACTATTCATTAGCTGCTAATATTTATGGGGCAATACAGACTGGATATGGCCCCATTCTCAGTTGAGGTCAAACTGCCCCCGTCTCTTCCATTTCTGTCTAAGACTAAATAAGTACATATGGGAGGTGCTTGGAAATGGAATAATATGCTTTTAATGAATGACATGTATTTTTGATTTACAAGTCGTAACCTCATAACATCATAAGTTGCATAATGCTTGCACGCTTCCATCGACCCCTGTCCCTGGGTACAAGGTTTCTCACTCGTGTTGGATCATAACTCTCTTGCAAATTTCATAACAAGGTTGATCTAATTTCTGTTGCCTTTCTTGTTTTTTGTATAGTTATGGATATCAGTTTAACTCACTTTGTTGCTTAATGATTTAATGAGACTTTGGAGCGCAGAAGCCTGATAGTGTTTCATAAGAAGTTGCCATGAATTTTACCAAAGTCAATCCACCGTCGGACCTTTTCTTAATATACATTTCGCTATGTCATAAACAAACCTCACTTGCAAGAATATGCATAAAGATATACTCCCTATTCTTCCACATTTTATTATTTGTACCCTCTTTCATATTTATTCGAGATTCAAAGCATGGCAGCTAAAAATGTAAAGTTGGGCATCTCGTCCCTTTGATAATCTTTAATTTTTATTTTATTTTATTTATTATTTGCATTCTTTAATATAACCGAGGTGTTATATTCTACTGGCATTTTTTGATGCCTTTTACGTGGAAATGTTTGAGTACGTTGATATTAACCTGCATGGGATTTCAGAACTTCACCCATATCTTATTATTGAAAATATACTTGCAGGGATTGACATGGCTTCTCCCAGAACGATTTTCTGAATCAGAAATTGGACCAGAAGCAGGTTTTGTGATGTTTTGGTAACACTGACTTCTTCTTACTTAGAATCATGCGCTAAACTCATGTTCTTTGGCTCAATGTAGGATGGATTTCGCGAAACATTTTATTATTATTATTATTTTTTTTTTTTTTTTTTTTTTTTTTTTTTTTTTTTTTTTTTTTTTTTTTTTTTTTTGGGTGTCATTATTTTCTTTCATTTATGGAAAAATCATGATATTTTAAATTAACTAGATTGACTTCATTAGGAACGAAATATTTTTACCAATATAGAGAACTTTTGTAGTGCATGCATGGAGATTATCCAATATGACTGTGGGCTCCTGTTTTCATGTGGTTCAGTGTTGCATGTTAAAAAAGTTCTATATCTTAAGTTTCTGCATTTAAATTAGGTTTATTTCTATTCTTCCAAACCCCACCCACCCTTCCCCCTTAAATTCCTTATGCTATGTAAGTTCTGCCATATTTTCTAGAAATCTAACATTCTTCATACATTGTACTGTATTCTACTCCAGTTATGAATTATATTTTTTGTTTCCAAATCAATGCTCTCTCTCTCTCTCTCTCTCTCTCTATATATATATATATATATATATATAATGTATGTATGTATGTATACATGTGTGCGTGTGTGTACGTACGTACGTACGTATGTATATATTTCTACAGTAACATCAAATTTGGGTATAATCATTCATTTCTAACATTTCATAATAACCATTTCCCCGGACACCTTCTCTGGGCCTTCTCCCAGGCACGTGAGTGACTCTTGGTCACCTTGTCAAGTTTCGTGAATCTCTTATTCTTTCTCTGCAATTTTTTTTCATTAGTTTATTTTAAGTGTTGATATATTCTATTCTATGCACTGTATATGTTTCTGCAGTAACATCAGTTTTGGGTATAATCACTTCTGTCAATGATCATATAATCGAGACAACACCAACCCAGATGCACATGGGTCATGTTCCCCAGCCTTCCTCCTTCCCGTTGTCATTGTTTATAACTTTGTTGAAAGACTTGGAAACTCTGGTTGAAGTTGCAGCACAGCAATTCTATGGTGATGAAAAGAAATGGAATTTTATTGCTATAACAGAAGCTACCAAGTAAGGAACTTGCTTTATTAGAGTAGGTTCTTCTTGCAGCACCATCAGTTGTTATATCGCCAGTATTTGTTATCAATAATAAGATTTTGTTTCAATCGATTTCAGGGTATTACTTAGGTTAGCATTGTTTAGGAAGAGTGGATATAAAATGCTCTTGCATGGTGGGGAGAATACAAATGACGTGCAGGATTCAGATGCATTAGATTCACAGCATAGAAATGGGCTCTCTCCAAAGCCTGGAGAACATCCTGTTCCTGGTAATATAAAGAATTATCATGCACATAATCCATTGAATCTGGAAGGGAGGGCATTATTTGCATTAAATAGGTTCGGTGAAAGTGCAAGGACAGTTTCTGAGCCAACATGGTTATATAGAGTTCAGCATCAGCAGGCAATAATGGAGCCTCCAAGTAAATTTCTTTTTTTCGTTTTGTCAGTGCTTTGGAGAGACGTGATTTAATCAGTTAGAGACTGTTTTGTTGAAATATATCTTCATTTCCTTACAGCAATAGTGGCCAAGAAACCTAGCCTTTCCTCTTTCTTGTCTGAGAAGGGCGTTCCTGGGGGCTTATTTTTAATAGGAGAGATGATGTTTATCTTAAGACCACTCATTTATGTATTACTAATAAAAAAGTATGGGACTCGGTCATGGTTTCCTTGGATTACTTCATTGACTGTGGACCTTATCTCCAATGGCGTTATTTCATACATCACAATTTTGAGGCAAAATAGCAAGGAGTTTTGTCTATCCAACATCGAGAAGCACGAGGTTAGAATCTTAATGTTTGAACTGTATATATTTTGTGTCAACCATAATCTCTATCTATGCCCAAAAGTGTCCTTAATCGTTATGCCATGTTGAGAACTAGATTCTACTTTTGTTTTGTTAAAATGTTACATCTGTTTCCTTTTTCTTCATTCCTTCAGTTGGAGAGGTTTCTGAATAGGGAAGTGTTACATGTACATAATTGTTTACATAATAGTGTATATAATTAGCATTGGATTCAATGACTCAAATCTCACACTTTCACATTAACATCCGAATGATTGCCACATCACATTATGGACAACATTATGTGCAATAATTATGTACATGTAGACTTTTCCTTCTGAATATTACACTGTAAGAATTTGATGATAATTTGATCTTATACTGAAATGGATTGGGTATGGTGCAGTTAAAAAGGCGAAAGCTCTTGTGGGCACTTTACCTTATGAGAGATCCATTTTTTTCCAAGTATACCAGGTAATATAGTGTTTCTCATGGTACAATTTACATCATTTCATCTTTTCACTTCCTCTATTATTTCTGATATGGAAAGAGATCAGAGTGCTAAGCTCATTAAGATTTTTAGGTTGAGACTCGATGGTACTCAAAAGCTACTGGAACCGGTTCCCATTGTCGGGCTTCTTGCTGGTATATGCTGTGTTCTATATGACTATGCAACAGACAGACAATCTTTTCTTCTTTGAACTTTAAAGGTTTCTTCTTTTGCGCAGAGAAACTCGTTGAACTTATTATTGGAGCCCAGACGCGTTACACCTACATGTCCGGTTCATGAGATGGAATTTTCTCAAGTTCTACTCAATTCTATTGGTGAATTCGGCCGCAGCATTATACTCTGAAAGCAGTACTTGCACGGGATAATGCTACTTGTAGTGACTTACCTATGTTCTTTTAATTAACTCTCTTTGACTAATTTCTAGAACAGCATAATACCCCCAGTGCTCTCCCGAATCTATCTGGGTTTATTTTGATTAATCATGATATCTCAATTTATATAACGTGTTGAATCTTGAGTTCAGTTCGAGTCTGGAAGGCATCCAAACACTTCATTTTGATGGATTTATCTCTACCACACGACCGAGTATTTCACAAGATTACAGAATATATGGTATAACTATTGAGGGAGAAGAATAAAAGAAAAAATAAATTGAAGTTCATTTTCTTATAAATCTAATATGAGAATTATTAAGCCGAGGGTTGAAAGTAATTTTCAAATGAACAAGAGCTTCTCTTACCCCTAGATAGAATAGAACAATTTTACTCGACCCATGGTATATTTTCTCGAGAAAAATAGAGATTCGAATGGATAGGCA